GCGCTCAATGTACTGTTTTGAAAAAAGATGCATGATTTGATACAGTTTTGAGTCCATTGGTATGATGATTCTTTTTAACACAACACCCATTCTATTTCGCTCACACTTACGTGCACTGTAACGTTGCTGAAACATGTACGTTCTTGTTTCTTTACTGCGCACATCTTTTTAACAGTAAAGCAGACTACTTTGTTATACGGGCAAAATTTGCACGTAAGTGTGAGCGAAATAGAATGGGTGTTGTGCGTCCGTGTTTTGGCCATGTATAGATTTCACTATATAAACCAATGTATTCACAGCGGCGTGAACCCGCGTTCCGAGGATTTCATACAAATTTCCCATGTAGACGATCCGAAATAGGCAACAGTCGAAAAAGAAGTTTAAATTTTTTTTTCGATTTTCATATAGTATTTTTTTCTGCTCTATTGGTATTATCGGCACATCGAAATTCGCACTCCTTATCAGTTAATTTTCACTTCATAGACAAATCACGACCAAAACCACCATTAAAATAAATCATCATACCAATGGACTCAAAAGTGTATCAAACATTTTTGTTTCAATTAAAGTGAAACACAATTTCTATAGTCAGCCGATATTTCACGATTCACTTTCAAGCGAACAGAATTTATGTTGCACTCGCACAAAACTGTATCAAATCATGCATCTTTTTTCAAAACAGTACATTGAGCGCGTCGCCGAACAAAGTGATACATCGTTCTGTTACTGAAACAAAATGAAACACTTGCCGCGCTTCGAAACAAAGCGCAACGTAAATAAAATAGTGGCCAACGATTTCATGCTTCATATTGATCCAATAACAGATTGGTGTTTCACTTTGTTCGGCGATTTTTTTGCGTTTCGTGTTCATCAGCGAAGAGTCAATACGTTCATTTTATGCTCACGGGTTCAAATATATCTATTATTTACTTTAAAACCAATCGGACGAACAGAGAATTTTACCTGTTGCCTTCGGTTATGACTTGAGGTGGCTGTTGATCTACGACAAAACTCGACTGAACCAATTTTTGTAGCATAATAGTTATTTCACGAGTAAATTCCACTTCAAAACTATCAACACAATAGATTCGACCATAACATTCTCGAATTATGTCCAACACGCTCATCGTACTCGAAGCACATTCATACAATCCCTCAAATTGAGTCTGAATGTCATCAAGTGCACTTCGAAGCTGGGGATTTTTGTTGTGCGAATCAGTTTCGGTTTTGATGTTTTTATCGCCGAATCCGGCCAAGATTTGATCATATTTCCACTTGGTCAATCGTTTGTCAATGAGAATTTGCTGTGCTTCATTCAACAAATTAATGACGGTTTGAATCGAGACCAATATTTGGCCACATTGTTGATCAATACACGACCGACTGAAATTTAATTCATCCATCCAAACACGTTTTTCATCCTCAATCTCAGTTGTGCTTGGAACATTGTTCAATTCTTGAATTCTTTGTTGCATTTGATTGAAATGCGGATAATCGTCTACAAATTTCGTTCTGAATGCCTCTACAGCTACTTTATTTTCAGTGGTCAGTCTTCGTAATTCTTGAATTATATTGTCGATTTGGCATTTAACACTCTCATTAATTTCCACATTATTCAACTGTGGATTGGTCATTAATTCAATAAAAGTTAACACATTACTTTCGCCCATTTTTTCGTTCAAATTTCAACACAAAACAACACGTTGAATGAAAAAGTGCAAAAAAAATTGATAGAATTGAATTTAATCGGAGCAACACAATTTTTAGAGAAATGCGTTCGCGCACAACGAGAACAAGACACATTCTAACAGTTGACACTCAGCGTTATATACTCTGTATGCCAGTTCAAAACATAGATGATGCTTATTTGTTATGCTGATAAATTGAATAATGACATCGTAATCACTTGCACATGTAAAAAATTTCTTCTCCAAAAATGTTTTTGTCTTTCTTTGCCTATCTCTTGATTTGTATTATTGCCGACTTCCTTCTTAGTGACTCGCCTATGCTATACGCAGATTTCGGATGACGTAACGATTCTAAAGCTCTTCTGATTAACGAATAATACGTTCAACGCCGAAATTTGTTTTGAAGTAATAGCATATTTCTTGAGAAATATTTTGGACCTTGAAACGCTGTGAAATGAATTGATTTTGATATATGAAACATGTCGAATGACAACACAATCTTTTACACAACGATGGGAAAACCCAAATTCTTTTCGATTGATTCTTTTTGTATTCTTCTAGAAAATATGTAAATATTGTAAATCATAAATCGAACTTGTTACATTTTGTAAGTGTACCGAAAGGGCTGTTAAATGTATTTTATCTCTACAAATAAATAAATAACCTGCGAAAGAAAGAAAGGAAAAAGAGACAATATTTTTTCACAGCAAACGAATCTATTCTTCAAATTTTCTTTATTTCATCTCACAAAAAGGTCTTTTGAAACAAAGCATAAAACAAATCAATTCTTCTAATTTAAAATGAATTTAATTGTTTGGTCCACGATAGACGCCTGCAAACAGCACTTCGTGCGAAACGCGATCGTTGATCATGAAAACGAATGGACGATCGCAATGGAATTGGACTGGTTCTGGTTGCATGAATGTCATTGATCGGCTCATTGTTGATGTGGCAGCAGCTGCGACCGAACCATCTTCATCGATTTCAAGTTTGGCCTTATGAACCATATCATCGAATGACAATGATGCTTCGTCAGAGTACCCAGTTAAAGGAGAACCGAACAAATTCTTGATGCCCATTTTTTCCAGAATCTATTGAAGCACGATCGTATTGTTATGTCTTGTATTTACTCTCTTTTTGATTACTTTCAAAAAGAGCCTAAAATGTTTTCAACTTACATTTTTCAATTCATAATTCCCTTCCAATGCCATTTTCGGGAATTGAACATCAACTTCTTGTGGGATTTCACCTCTAAATGCTTCTTGAATGGTTTCCATGGTCATTGTGTCTACTAAATCATCAACAGCGTTTGGTGTGTTCTCAAGTGGCAAGTACACGTACATGGTGATAGCTTGATCTTCACCCTGATATGGCATTTCCAAGTAAGCTGCATTTTCCTTCTCAAGAACACCTGCAATGCAAATGGATTTAGGACAACGAAAAGAAATCTCAAGATTTGGATCAACCAACCATAAGAGAATTCATCTTTGACAGTCATCATTTCAACCTCAGCTGGAGCGGCTCCGTTGAATAATTTCTTTTGTGTGTTTGTTTTGTTGAATCTGATGGCCCACAGTCCTTTGAAGAAGGCAGCATTGGCCAAAACTGCTTTGGTCGTTGGGAAAATTGAGTTGGTTGGAAGCAAATCTTTGATGTGATTTTGTGTGACTTCTTCAACCCAAGCGTTGATCTCTTGACGACGAGCTTCTGCATCGGTGAAATCGACCTTTTTGATGGAATCAGTGAACAAGTCGGTGATATGTGATCTGGAAAAGAAGAAAGGTTTTTGAAATTGTTTTGATAAAAAAAAAATTTGTCCAACGAGCACTTCCAACATTCTTTTGCCACAAAAGCGCCTATTAATCTTACTTTAGTTCAACCTCCTTCGAAACGTAGAGTCTATCGACAGAGTTAAATTGAAGTCCTTGACCCAAAAAGCGTTCCGATCGTGCCATCAATTCGGCTTTGTATGATCTAGCGTTATATTTTTTATCGTCAGCCCAATCCATGTACATGGATTTTCCCAATGACTTCATGGATTGGCCTTCAGTTCCGAAATAAGCAATAAGAAGAGCACGATAAGTGCTGTGCGGCGAGAAGATCTGGTTATTCTGTGGATTTTGCTTTGTCATTGCTTTTAACATGGAAAGAGCGAAATGGCTTTGTCCACGGTAAAGACGGTATGGATTCATACTACGAACAATCCCTTCACCATCAGCAATGACCCATTCTTCTTTGTTATCAAGCTCAAATTTCACATCATTCCCGTAATCCTGAAGAAAAATGGTTATTCACTACTTGTATTTTAACAGATTCATTGATATTCAAATTACTTTTGCGCCACATGTGAGGATGTGCGGAAAAGTGATTTGGTGTGTAATTTCACTTTATCGATAAGAATTTCATCTAAAATGGAATACAATTATTGCACAAAAGTACCGCTTTCAATAAAACGACCCTTAATAAAGTGTACACAATAAGGACCAGATTTTTGAAACAGGCACCATGCACATGAACATTTTTCTGTGTGCGCCAGAGGGAATTTCATTTTTTTTTTTCAAGTTTTCAATGTCAAAACTAACTTACATCATCATCAGTGGTAACTGAACTATCGTCCGATTCCATATTTAAATTTACTTGATAGCTTGCATCTTCCTCGCTGATGAATGGGTATGCAATGACGAGTGGAACGAATGCGATCGCCACGAAAATCCAAAGCTTTGACATGATTATCTACTGAAATAGAAGAAATGATTATGATTCGATTAATTTCAATCTAATGTTTCTTCCCATTTTATCGATGGAAATTGAGTTACGGTCAATTTTTCTGTTAAATTCATAGCAAACATGTGAAAGTATTGTTCATATTTTCCTAGTTTGAAATGCAAAAGAATGGACTTTTCAGACAATTTTCTGTCAACTGACTTTTAACACCAGCACGAAAAAATTTCAATCATATCTTCTTTCGTTCTAATTGAATGTCCGAGAATGAAAACGCAACTTCTATTCACAACACATATAAGTGAAACAGAAATAAAAAATTTATTGAAATGAAACAACAAAATCGAATTTTTTCAAAGTGTAACAACAAAACAGATTTTTTCAAAGTGTAACATACCGATGTATATTACACTTGTATACATCGGTATGTTACACTTTGAAAAAATCTGTTTTGTTGTTACA